CAGCGAGAAGGTTAGTTGTGCGAAGAGAATCTGAATCTTCACACTTTTGCACATATAAGTGATGAACCACGGAGAAAACATATGGAAAATATAAGATTGGATAATTAAGTTTGTGAAGTCTTCTTAGAAAAATTGCTACATATCTCATTGCTAAATATCCCTATGGTCACCTTTGAAGTACTCCCCCTGTGAAGCTAATCACCCTTACCAGTGCCTCCTCCACCCTTCAAAGCAAGGTTGGAACACTTTTTCTGGAATGGCCATCAGAACTGTCGTCCTGTGAGGTCTTAAAATTAAGTTTGAGAGCTCGTCCTAGAAAAAGTGCTACATACCTCATTGCTGAGTATCACTGTGGTTACCTCTGAAGTACTCTCCTTGGCCATCCGGTGACCATAGTGATATTCAGCACCGAGGTATGTAGCATTTTTTTCTAGGGACTGTAGAGAACTTAATTGTTTGACCTCATGTCACCTCATATGTTATTTTCGTGGTGTATGTTAACTGGCAACTGTCTTGTGTCTGGCTAAGCCATAGGAGCTTCTACTACCACAGCGTAGTGGAAGTGCAGAGAGAGAAGCCACCTTTGGGGCAGTGGATCTTTTGTACAATGTGCACTGAAGAAATGTGAAACTCCTTGTTCTTTCACAATGAACAACCTGTGGAATCCTTGCCACTCCTTAGCTGGCAGCTATGCCCTCCCATGCCACTCTTCCAACCAGCTTCGGAGTGCTGAATCGTGGGCTGCTGATCTTGGGTTGGATCATGGGCAGCTGAGGCCACCAGGTGTTTGAGGAATGCTTCTAACATGACCAGGAGAGAAAAACAATAGCAAGAATTCAAATCAATGGCAAACAAAAACTTCAGATTTCCCCAGGAATTAGCTTCCTACACTAATGGCCTCAAGCATTGCCTATTTATCATTTCATGGTGTCTGGAAGTTTGGACACATCTGACCTGGGCTCTCTGGTGATGTCAGCTGGGCAGTGTTCTTGTCTGGATTCTCTTTCCAGCCCATGTGTTATTGACGGTACCTTATGGCTGCAGGACTGAGGCCAGGAGCTGCTCTCAGCAAATAGAGGTCCCTCTCAGTTTCTGCCACGTGGCCCCTTTCAGAGGCTCTTTGAACCTTGTTCTTCAGGACCTGTCTATATAAGGCCCATAAGGATAATCTCCATTTTGATTGACTCAAAGTAGACTGATCTGGGACCTGATTACATCTATAACCCCCTCCCCCCCCATTTGTTAGGCTATAATATATAGCTTAACCTAATTGCAAGTTCATCATAATCACATGTGCCCCAGGCCCAAGGAAGAGAGGATTGTACAGGGCATGGACATCAGGGAACAGGAGTCCTGCAGGCCCTCTTAGAATTCTGCCTGTCACACTCCTAAGCCCCAGTGTTGTCCTCTGGGCCTAAAACAATGTCAGTAGCCTCTCCTCCACCATTAGTTACCACTTTGGGTTAGGAAATTGTGCTCCCACACAGCCCCTTGTTATGAAAATAGGTTAGTGGAAGGAACAGCTGAGATTCAGTCCTGACATTAACTACCTAGAGTTGGCACAGACTTCACAGGCTGATGGTCAAAGACCCTGTGGGACTATCCCCACTTCAGACACCAGTCATAAGCTCTGGGGTCCCCACGCCACCTTCATGTATGACCATCTGGCTACCAAATTGGGTAGTTGGGGTTATCACTATGGCCTCAGGCTTAATAATTCACTGGACCAACTCACAGAAAGCACTGTACTTACAACAGATTCATGATACAAATCAGAACTAGCCAAATGAAGAGATACATGGGGCATGGCCTGGGAGGGTTCCGAATGCAAAGCTTCCATATCCTAAGGCTTCATCACCCCCATCCCACCTACCACATTGATGTGTATCACCAACCAGAAAGTTCACCCAGGCCTTGGAATTCAGAATTCTAGAATCTTTATTGGCATTTCATCACACAGGTATGATTGATTGGATGCCTGGCCATGTAATTGAACTTGATCTCCAGGTCCCTCCTTTCCCTGGACTTGGGCTGGACTGATATTACCTGGCTCACACCTTAATCTTTTAATCACAGGTGTGGCCAGCTCCCTTCCTGAGTCATCTCATTAGCATGACTAACACAAGGGTTGGTTAGGGATGGTTGCAGGGGCCCACCAGGAATAACAAAGACATTCTTATCACTCAGGACTTTAGCAGGTTTAGAGTTACCCTCCAGGAAACAGGGACAGAGGATAGCCAGACACTTTATCATACAGCTATAGTACACAAATGAGTCATTATTACTCATTAACATTTTGGTATGAATTTTCCTGGATTCAGGCTTTATAATGCTTCTGGGGTCTCTTGGAATCTTCTGGGAATCTTTCAAATTCTATGTACAAGCTTTTGCTTGACACACGCTGAGTTGTAGAGATACTAGACTCAGTGGCAATTAGAAATCTAGGGGCAAGTGGAATATTACAAGTGAATCTATTTTAGCAAATTAACTCACTTGGTTGGCAAAAAACATCTTAGAGGTCATTGACCTTTAAATCCTGACCAGTTGGTAAAAGGAACCTTGGTTGAAATAATGTTTGATAAATCCAAGAAGTTGGCATCTGGGCCGGGGAGGTAGGGATGGTGGTGGGTTGTCAATGCCTTAACAAGAGTTTGGATTTAGTTGCTTGATATTTTAATGAAAAAAATTACAAAAGAATTCATCGCCAGATACCCCATCATAAATGAAATATTCATTTCATTTTCTTTCTGGTTAAAACTTGTGTCTTGAAATGCTATGTTGTATCTACTTGGAATGATCAATGGAGATGCCTGGAGGGATTTCTCCTGCAGAATTTGTTGGTGGAGAACATTAAAATTGCATGAAGTCACTCATGTAATTTTAATGACCATCAGAGAATTTTGACTGGAATTAAGAGGAATTTAAAGTGAGATGATGCTTCCAGGAAAGGTAGAAACTGTGGTCCTTCACTGTTCTGGGGCAAGGTCGAGGATCTAAAGGGCACCCCCTCCACTCTGAATGGAACCCGATGGGTGCACACGCAGGCCTGTGCACCCCCAGATAAGAGCCCAATACTCCACCCTGGATCCCCTCTTCTCTTGAGTTCTCACTTTACTGCCATTGAACTCAGCTGTGTTCACAAAGACTCCTCAGGTCTCTCCATGTCCCCTTGATTTCCACATCCTCTGATCTCCGTCTGGGCCCATGTTTGCATTTTCATTAGGCAATTAGTTGCACGCCAACTTGTAACATAGGTGCTTGGTTGTTGATTCAAAATGCCATGTGACCTATGTTTTCCTCAGACCTTATCAGCCTGATTCTAAAAATAGGGTCACAATCCCAATAGTTTTCTTTGGATCATCTCCCTGAGGCAAGGTCTGGGCCTCTGGATTGTCCTGCTTGCTGTCAGAAGCCTTCAGGGGCTCCCGTGAGGCTGTGAGTGCAGTTCGTGCAGCTGACCTGAGATGTTCGCTCCCCTCTCCAGCTGAACTCACCTGCCACCACCCAACACCATGGTCTCAGCTCCTCCTTCCCTGTTTTGGATGTAAGAGGCTTTGGCTCCTTGCTGGGAGCCCATCGCTCTCTTGATTGCCTTTATGAAGGCTGGGCCCCAACTTCT